GATTTTTCTTGTGTTAGAAGTACTACCCTGTTATTTGTGTAACGGATTAGTATGCCAAAAAAGAGAGGAAAAACTACTAATAGCAAAAAGGATTACTCTTTACAAATATTACTGTTAAAGAATGTCATTTAATGCAGTGCTCTAATAAATTATTTTAAAATGTATTTTATTACCATCATTTATTAAACAATAAGGAGACGTTTTCACTGCAAATAGCGATAACATCTCTATAGAACTGTATTTGGATAGTAATTTTTTTTCCTGACACAGTAGATAATTAGGAATTATAAATTATGCTTACACTCTCAAGCATGTTAGCTGGAGAGTATATCAGACTATGTGTTGTTCTTGGTGCCAGTTCAGGTCTTGATTTTCAAAAATTCCTGCACAGGAATGCATGAAGAGTTTCAGTTTCGAGCAGCAGAGCAGAAGTGTGTTACCCACCTGAGAGATTCAGATGAAGACCTTGCCACCCGTTTCCGTTTTTGTGTACCTCATGTTTGTAAGCGAGGGAATCATTATTGTGAGTTGTTTTGCTGGCATCTCAGCCTCGTTCCTAGTTGTCAGATGATCTCACTTCAAATGTTTCCTGCAAAAATGGTGATACTAATTTTTTAACAGAGTCACTGCGTAGCTAAAATAAATTGCTTCTGTTCATCAGATTTGGTTCTTCCGTAGGAGACTTGAAGTACGTTGACAGGGTAGCACAGCAGCTTTCACAGACCTGGGTAAACTAGTGTGTGATATGTAATAAGTGAGATCTGATAATGTAGGTCCGTCCCCACGGGCTGCTTCATAAATGCTTGGAGATCTTCACTTACGATGCCTCACCAGCACGACAAGGTATTTTTCAACCTCTGTCTCCCAGGGACTTAGTGGAGGAATCGTAACTCTGGTGGTACGTTAAGGCCATGCAGAAGCAAAGCTTCGGTTTCGTTAGATACCCTGTCACAACCCGCATCTTTATTTTGTAGTCTGTAAAATAATAATAAAAACGGTTGGGTCTCGCTCTCTTCCCTCTGTATTGAAGTAGTGAATTCCAAAGGGTGTAAGCAACCAACACGTATCATTCGGTATAATGTACAGTTCTGCTCTGCTGAACTCTCGTTAACCCGGATGCCTGGTTAAATGCCACTGGATTATATATTTGAGGTTATTACTGTTCAGATTATCCACGATAATAGACACAGATAATATGCCGACATACTCCAGCAGTGTGTCTGTGCAGGCAGGTGCAGACAGATGCAAGCTTGCTCTGCCCGCGCTCTGAGCAGGCTGTGTGCGAGCCGGCTCCGGCCTGGAAGCCATCAGCATGCTGTGTGGCACTATGCCCGAGCTAAAACACCTTGTCTCTTAGATAAATGAGGCTTTACAGCTTCTGAACTGAAGCTGACTCGCGTTCGGGCGGCTTCAAGAGTACTGGCAGCGTGAGTTCGCGTGCAGCTGCCCGTCCGTGCATTCAGCACTCCACATTGCTGTGGGAGGACTTCAGTAGAAATCCCCATCCTTGTATTCTTATGCAGTTGTCCCTCAACATTTGTAGGCTTAAGGCCTCCCAACTCCACTATCATTTACTGTAAAGATAAGAATTAAAAAATATATTGACAATAATTTTGGGGGGCGATTTCAAACTTGTGTATGCGCTGTGGGTTTGATTCAAATTTTAGAGTGTCTGAGTGGAACAATTGGGGAGTCATATGACAGCAGCTATTTCCCATGACTATGAACCATTATTTCCTGGAAGTGTTTGGTATGAATCATTATTTCCTGGAATTAAGTGTTTGGTTACCTATTTTCCCAAGATAGGAGAAGTGGTGTACTGAATGGAATCATCCTGAGCGCCACGAGACAACAGAGAAAAAAATATTTTGTTAGCTTTCCCGTGCAAAAACATTCTTATAACTTCTGGTTGGCTTTCTTAATCCCTCAACACCATCAGCTGAGAAGCAGCATGCTAGGATCTGCAAAATCTTGTGGTTTTGGGGCTGCCGAATCCAGAGTGCAGATTTTTCAAAGCGTGTTGACTGGCTCTCCTCTCCTGTGGAAGGTTTTACCTCATCTGCCACTTTGAAGTGGGGCTAGGGAGTGTCGCACAGTTGAACAGGTACGACCACAAGCACTTGTGATCATTTTGGCTGGCAATACAAAAAAGATGGACCTGAATGAATCTTGTTATCAGATGTTGAAATGATACCAAATAGTAGCAGTAGTTCTGAGTCTTCCTCGCTAGTCAGGTTTGTGCTTTCGCTGCCGATTTTGAAGCAGTGAAATAATCTTTGGAGGGGAAGTAAAATTTCAGCATGGCTTCATGTAGTTTCCAAATCAATTTAGAACTTTTATTCTGTTTCTGGCTTTTTACAGATATAATATGTGTTACACATTATTAAATAACATTATGTGTCATTAGAACCCTTGTGGATGGCAAGTATTTACCATGAAATTTGCTATTAGATGAGCAGACATATTGTATTGGGTCTGGCTGGGATGGAGTTAACTTGCGTAACTTAAGAATTAATCTAAATATATCTAAAAACCTTGGAATTTCTGAGATGTAGACTTCTTGACCTATTTTCATTCTGAATGTGGTGGGTTTGTGATGGTTATGTCAATGTTTATCTTCAGATATCACGTAAGTATATCTTTAGACTGATAATTATGGTATAAATAGATTTATATTTTGCTGTTTACCAGAGGTACCTACTTTATGGCGGTGATTACCGTGAATTAAAGATTAGGATTTAACCCCACTGCTGTTAATTGCAGACAGGGCAAATCTTTGTCCTACATATCCTGAAAACCAGAGGAACATTGTGAAACTTTTTTTTTTTTAAATAAAGTTCAAAATAGCAACAAAACTGTTGCTTGATGCAAGTTAAAAATTGGAAAATTCCAGTGGTTTGCACCAAGGAACACATTGTCAAAGCTTCTGACTAACCTTTCTCTGTAATGTTAATACAGTCTGCTATCAGATAACTGTAGGGGAGCTAACCTAATCTTATTTGATTAAGAAGAAGTGTATTTTGTGTAATAATGCAATATGCTGTTTCTTTGGCTTTAAATTACAGAATACCTGTTGCTGACACTTTCTGTTAGAAAGCTTATGTTATCACCCCTGGAAAAAACCCACCTTCTAGGGTTAGGACATGTTTCTAAAACAGAAAAGTACAGACTTGTATGTAAATGTACTGTGGAGAAAAAACTTAAATTGTGTTACATGTTTCTTTCTTTTTGAGCCAGATACTCAAAAGTGGGCATATTTAGATTTTATATGGTGCAGAAATTCTCTGCTTTCTGCAAGGTGAGAGGAATTGTCGAATACTGTAGCAAACTAGCTTTCTTCTATTTCAGTGCATTACAAATTTAAGATTTTAATGAAAGTGTTATGGAATTGATATTCTATTTGAGTACAACACCTGAAAACACTGGCAGTCTTTTACAAATTACTATGCTGCAAGTTTTATGCATTATTATCAGCTTTATAGAAAACAATGTATCTCACTTCAAATTAGCATTATGGATATGTGACCCTTTGATACATTTTTGTCTTTAATACCCGCTATTTAAAATAATTAATAGCTTTCATTTAAATTAAGACTGTTGGAGACTTATGGCATCCTCCTTTAAACATCATTTAACTCTGATTAGAATAAAGAGGACAGAATAATAAATGAGACTATTTTAAAGTGTATGAATAAAATGCAACTGTTTATCTAAAATTGATCCATGTCTCATAACTTTGAGAGTAAAATAAATGGGTTGTTTTTCTTTGACTCCATCAGAAATATTGTCCTATAAATATTTACATTAATACATTAGGAACTTTGAAATAAAAGTGAAATAGCTTTCTTGACTTCTTTTGCTGGCAAGCAAAGGACTATGAGAATTCCAAACTTTCAGCTCACCTTGACTGTGTGAAGTTCATGAGCCATATTCTTACATTTATTAGCAGTTGGAGCCTAAGGTTAATTTATGACTCATTGATCCATGTTTATTTTTTAATGATTGATCCTATGTAGTTCTGGAAAAAGGCATAGGCCATAACACATTGTGTTCTAAAAGCTGTTGAGTATTTTATGCTTTTCCTTGGGTGGTAAGTCATAGTCTGTCACTGAGTGCATTGCAAAAGATCAACGTATTTCTTTTATTTAAGAAAATAAGGGACAGATTATGGCCTTGCCAATGTCAGCATTTTAGAGTATAAGAAATAATAAGATACTGCAAGATCTGTGATTCCAACTGCATGTTGTAAAAATTACCTTTGTCATATGTCCTCACAAACTATTTACAACGTGCTCCTGCTAGTTTCTGTGTAATTCTATATGTATCTGAGTGCTGTACATTTCTCTCTGCTTTATGGAAGATTGGGGGGGTCAAGATTTCAAAGGAAAAGGTTCCTCATGAACAATTAGATCAAGGAACTTATTTTCTAGATGTTATATTTTACTTCTAGAATTATAGTTTTTTGGTGACACAGTGAATAATAATAAATCCATAGGAAAACATCTAAGTAAATGTGAGGAAGATGTCCAGAGATTTCTGTACTGAGATCTCTTAGGGTACCAAATTAACAGGATAATATAAAAATATGTTTTATCTGTATTGCTTGTCTTTTTATTATTCAGTCTGTATGATTTGAATAATTCACTACAGATTTATGTAAGATATTCTAGAATTTTGGCAAGTGAATTTAAAAAAAAACGCAAACATACTTTTTAAAAACACACCGTTTCACAGAAATATTTTTAAGTATCATATTGTAGTAAAATAGACTGAGATAAATGTTTTATAACATAGTTAAGTAATGAAAAAATCTATAAATAGAACTTTTTTGGCTAATCAGTTTATTTCATGATTTGGCTGGACTTGACAATGTTTGCTATTTAAAGACTGTTCAGGAGGTAGTTGATTGTTCTCCTAGTGGTTAAAAGAAACATCTCATGATATATTAGTATATGTTCTATTTTAATGAGAATATAACAGTTTTTATTCTATTTTATCAGACAGGAAGCTTTGCTTGCTGCAATTAGTGAAAAAGATGCAAACATTGCCTTGCTTGAACTGTCTGCTTCAAAGAAAAAGAAGACCCAAGAGGAAGTAATGGCTCTTAAACGAGAGAAGGACAGATTAGTACATCAGTTAAAACAGCAGGTGAATGAAAAACATTCTTTTTCATACTTTCATGGCAACAGAAAATTGGCATTACTTTCATTTGTACTATTTTATTCTAACTTCATGTTGAAAGTCTTCAAGCCAGGTCTGACAGCGGTTATGAAAGGTAGGAGGTGTTCTATGTAAGTGTTTATTGCTTCTCTATGGTTGTTAAGTATTTAGCTGCACATTTGCTTGGCTCATATTATATGCAGCCAATACACTTTCTGTTTTCCCTCCTCATGTAGCTTCCAACCTTCTTTAAGTGAGACAGAGAGCAGGTGCTCTTTGCCATGAAGCAAGATCTGTCTGTCCTGTTGACTCTTTCTAACCTTCTTCTGTTCAGTTATTTGCTTATCTGTTGTAAAATAATTGTGTTTTCAGAAGGTTTCAGGCTTTCTGAGAGGTTATCTGGAAATTGCAATTATCCTTAAAATAAATTCTCAAATGAGTAAAAATCACCCTGTCTTCAACACTGTAAGTCATTTGAGGTTTTAATAAAAAACCATGTAGTTACAAACTCTAGAAATAGATTTTATCACAAGCAAAATTAGGTTATATCCTGCTTTATTAATGAGGAAAATAACCATACTAGACACAGTACATAGGTCTCTTCTCTGTCTAACTAAAATGTTTAAAACTCTGTATACTGTGCAGTGGCTACTCCTCCTGATTTTTAAAAGGTAATAGTTGGAGCCAGAAGAGGTACTGGAGGTAAGAGATCCAAGGATCTTCAGATAACCTAGATACTGAAGACCTGTGTATCACGCATGGTGTTAAATGCCTTTCCTCTTTCAGAATAGGTGAAAAAGATTAGAAAGATGTTTTCAGACCATGTCTGAAGATGTTGTATCTGATGTTTTCCTCTGTGTGACAGTGCTGAATTCTGTGACTGTTGCTTGAGGAAGAGGAGATGCCACGTTAATAACGTTTAGGACATACTGCATAGTGAATGTGATTCTTTATTCTGAGTCATGCATCACGTACTGTAGAACTTCATGCACTGAAGAACAGAAAGTTAAGGAAAACCCTTGCTGCTATGCTAAATTCCCAATAGCTCTGACCTTACGCATCTAATCATTATAGCTTTTTCCCACAGCTCTATAAAAATAGGAAACAGACCCTGAGCATGAACTTATCATACACTCATGATGCTGACTTCGTTACAGACATTCCAGTCAAGCACCCGTGTTCCAACCATGGTGCGCTCACGTCTCAGGCCAGTCAGCTGACCAGGAGACGTTTCAATCAACTTTTATATGCTAAATAGGCAGGCGTGCTTTATGCTTTTTAGTACTTTATCCCACTGTGCTGCATTGGAACAGATGATGTTATGTTCCAAATAATTTTAGGGGGTTTGGTTTGCTTTGGAAAAGAAAAGGCAGTTGTTTTCTCTTTTACATACCTTCTTTTTTCACTTTTATCTTTCGTTACTGAAGAGTAAATGAATACACCACTTTGCCATGTTCCACGGTACCTGTCACAGATATTTTTAAGGTGTTCATCAGAGACTTGGGCAAACTGGAATTTTTTTTTCTTTTTGTTTTTGTTTTGTTTTGTACCTTCAAGCTATTGCTGAAAAGTGTTCAAAACATTCATAACTTTCTTCAGACAGAGTAAAGGAACAGTAGAAGAGGGCTGCTAGAGAGGCATTGTTTTGGATAACTGCAGTTAGAATTGTAACCAAATACTTCAAATACCTCCATTATTTATAGTGATAAAGATCTTCAGTAAAGCTATTTAACTAGATTAAATTGATGCCAAAATAATCTCCCTGTTATCTCAGGGAACAAAAAAAAAGAGACACCAGGAACAGGAATGTGGTTTAACTAGGTCACCACTTTATTACACTTAAGAATTAGCTGATAATAAAGGTTGTAGAGATCATTCATACTTCTTTAATCCCTTTGGGGAGAACCACTGTCAAGCTTTCACGTGTGCATCCAACGCAGAGGCTTGTTAGTGCTACTCTTCCTTGCTATGACTGTGCTGGGCCGGGGGGGAAGTGACGGATTCCACACTGTGTGATATGTCCGCTCTGTTCCTCAGTTTCTCTGGAAGATGCCGTCTCCCAGTCTATTTCTGATTCACTAGAACTTCAGTGAATGATCAGCTGTGGCATCAGTTTTTTTCTTATGGCCTATTTGTCCCATCCCCATTTCCACAGCTGTTACAATGCTGAAAGAAGAAAAAAAAGCCCCACTTCTCCACCCTAGTGTGACCATGAAAGGAGAGATATTTGTAAATATTAGAAGGTGACTCACTAGATAATGCTAAACATTAGGCCTCCAAATCCACTCCTGTTCTGTACTGCAGGAGGAATTTTTGCTTTGAGAGGCAAAGTAACATGGTGAGTGATGATAAAAGTCCACACCAGCAAATGGATTTTTGATGCATCTACCTATCCAGTCAAGCAGGAAACCTTCTGTTCACGGCTACAGGAGGCTGAGAGCTTATCAAGGCAGCAGGACAAAGAACGAGAAATGCAGACCTTAAAGAATCCAAGGAGTTTCTTTTTATGTTGCTCCTTTTCATTTTGCTCCTCACAAGAAGTCTCTGTCTTTCAACTATTGATGGGAAAGCTAGGCTGCATCTGAAGCACTGTGGCTGAAAATCCTATTAGCAGAACATCAGTAAGAGTAGGCTTTCCCTCTTCCACAAAGAGGCATCAGCTGATAAGAGTAAATGTGTTGCAGACCAACTCGTCCTTTCTCCTTCAGCATCAGCAATTCAGACATTTAATCTGATACATTTATATCCTAGAAACGATGTCCTAGAGTTTCTTTAGATAATCTTTTTATATTTTGCTCATTATACTGCAGAGTTCATGTGGCGATGCTGCAATTGATCTTCTAATTGCATCTGCTCTCCTTATGTCCTCCATATCTACCAAGGACATCTTGTTTTTCAAGAACTTGTCGTTTTACTAAAGCAGCAATAGTTTGAAATTAGCCTTCAGTGAGAATGAGCTTTACCACTTGAAATAGAAAATATTATTTCAGACAAGTTTTGTTTTGCTATCTTTATAGACAGGTGAATCACTTTGGCCCAAGTAAGCTGTCGTGAAACTTCAGTCCTTGTGCCGCATCATCATATATCTGACAGTTTGATTTGCTTTTCGCTTTTGTGCGCAGTTTGGGGAATTTCTTTCTATCTCAGAAACTCTCTGAGTCTCTACATCTGTTGCTGTCTTTTTCAGTGGCATCCTAGACTTTGTCATGTAGTTGATAAAATCCGATTTTGTATTTCTAGCAATTCCAAATCATGCTGTACTATCACTCATTGAAATGAATAATACCCAAAACCAATGTTACACTCCAAGCCTAGGATGCTGGTTTGCTATTGCTGTTGAAGTGCTGGCTTCAGTGTCCGAGATAGGATCGCTGTAGCTTGGAAAGTCCTCTGATGAAATGAAAAAGTAAGTACAAAGGGCTTTTTTTGAGAGAGCTACAAAGGCTGTTTCTTGAGAGAGAGAGAGGAGAGGTATGTATGTGAATTCACCAGAGGCCAGTGAGGGTCGCAATTTAAGGGAAGGGGCTGTGGAGTTTTAATGGATATACTTCGTAACATTTATGGGTGCTTACCTAGTGGGAACATAAAAATGTTTGCAAATTCATCTACTGCTCCTCAGAATGCTGTACGAGATCTGTGGTAGCTCTCGCCATGTGAAGTCATTGTAGGCATCAAAAGCCTGCTTCATATTTAAAGAGATAGGGCACAGTAGATGTCTTAAAGGTTCAGGAGGTCAATTCTGTTAAACTCAGTGGTGTAACTCAAAGTATCGAGGTTACTCATAGAATTCTATTGCTATTGGATTAAGGCCAGAAAAACAGATTCTATCACTGTGCTGTAATGTATCGCAGACTTGCACTGAGATTGAATTGCCTAAATGCAAATGTAGCTGCTTTTACCACAGACCTACACTGTGAAAAACTTCTCTAATCACTCTGGTAGATTCCTGGAGCATCCTGGTGTATTTTGTATTTCAACTGGAAGCTTCTTGGCTCTCCGTAAGCTTCCTTAGGATTGCTTCAGAAGAATATTAACATTGTGCCGTAGGCAATGAGCATGAAAAATTCCATGAGAGGAAGAAAAGTACCAAGAGCTTTTCAATATCTAAGAGTAACAGGCTATTGTCTAAACAGGCGCTATTCTGGCAAAGATAAAACAAATACAGTGTACTGCCTACTTAGGCATGAGTATTTGTCTTAGTTTATCCAGGTCATGAACTTGATGTTATTTTATGGCTTTTATTTTTAATGTGGTTTGTCTTACAACTGTGGAGTCGGTTATTACTCAGTTTGGAGGCAAAGTATTTACTTCCCAAATGCCTCCCTCCCCCCAACTCAAAAAGGCACCTGCATTCTTTTCTTTTTAATTAATCAATTATTTTTTGTCGTAAAATATCAATGTCTTCCATATTGACAAATGTATTGATTTCCATTGTTCAATATTTCATGCAGACTGACAAAGGACATCTCAATAGTATTCTAAACTAAACCAGAATTAAACTAGAAATGGAATATGTTCAAAAAAGAAAGTTTAAAAAGTCTCAATTGCAAATTTCAGGGTTTTTTTTCTCTTTTTAGATTGTTTATGACTGAAATAATGACCCTAGCACCAAATATGCGGTTGAATGCCTTTCTCCAATTTTTCTGTTCTAATTTTTTGGCCTTTAGGAATGTCAAACAGATTGTAAGCTACCAAGACGTTGATTTTGAAGTAACTCAAGTCACACTGAAAAAGAAAAAGAAGCATGTTAGATGAAATATACTGTCTTTGTAAGGGAATGAGAACATATGTGATTTATTTTAAATATGAAGCTACAGACATACATATATTAAAGACCAAAATATTATTTATGTGAATGAGTTGAGCAGTCTTTTTATGGGTTGTGACTGTGTGAGTTTAAGTAGAACTTCTGTTATTTCTAAGCTGGAAGAAAAGCATTGGTTTTATCTCAACTGCTGGCTTGCTTTTACAGTTTTTGTCACATGATA